TGATGATGGAATACTTACTAATGTTGATGATAGAATACTTACTAAGGTTGGTGATGAAATATTTACTAATGTTGGCGATGGAATACTTACTAAGGTTGGTGATGGAATACTTACTAATGTAGGTGATGGAATACTTACTAATGTTGGTGATGAAATACTTACTAAGATTGGTGATATAATACTTACCAAGGTTGGTGTTGGAATACTTAATAAGATTGGTAATGGTATACTTACTAATGTTGGTGATGGAATACTTACTAATGTTGGTGATGAAATACTTTCTAAGGTTGGTGATATAATACTTGCTAAGGTTGGTGATATAATACTTGCTAAGGTTGGGGATGAAATACTCACTAATGTTGGTGATGGAATACTTACTAAGGTTGTTGATGGAATAATTACTAAAGTTGGTGATATAATACTTACTAAAGTTGTTGATATAACACTTACTAAGGTTGTTGATATAATACTTACTAAGATTGTTGATATAATACTTACTAAGGTTGGTGTTATAATATTTACTAAGGTTGTTGATGGAATAATTACTAAAGTTGGTGATATAATAGTTACTTAGGTTGTTGATATAATATTTACTAAAGTTGGCGATATAATACTTACTAAGGGGATTGATATAATACTTACTAAAGTTGGTGATATAATATTTACTAAGGTTGTTTATATAATACTTACTAAAGTTGATGATATAATATTTACTAAGGTTGTTGATGGAATAATTACTAAAGTTGGTGATATAATAGTTACTTAGGTTGTTGATATAATATTTACTAAAGTTGGCGATATAATACTTACTAAGGGGATCGATATAATACTTACTAAGGTTGGTGATATAATACTTACTAAGGTTGTTGATGGAATACTTACTAAGATTGTTGATGGAATAATTACTAAAGTTGATGATATAATACTTACTAAGGTTGTTGATATAATGCTTACTAAGGTTGTTGATATGATACTTACTAAGATTATTGATTTAATACTTACTAAAGTTGTTGATGGAATAATTACTAAAGTTGGTGACATACTACTTACTAAGATTATTGATATAATATTTACTAAAGTTGCCGATATAATACTTACTAAGGTTGTTGATATAATACTTACTAAAGTTGGTGATATAATACTTACTAAAGTTGTTGATGGAATACTTACTAAGATTGTTGATGGAATAATTACTAAAGTTGGTGATGTAATACTTACTAAGGTTGTTGATATAATACTTATTAAGGTTGTTGATGTAATATATATATAATATTGATATAATACTTACTAAGATTGTTGATGGAATAATCACTAAAGTTGGTGATATAATACTTACTAAGGTTGTTGATATAATACTTATTAAGGTTGTTGATGTAATATATATATAATATTGATATAATATTTACTAAGATTGTTGATGGAATAATTACTAAAGTTGGTGATATAATACTTACTAAGGTTGTTGATATAATACTTATTAAGGTTGTTGATATAATACTTACTAAGGTTGTTGATGGAATAATTACTAAAGTTGGTGATATAATATTTACTAAGGTTGTTGATATAATAATTACTAAAGTTGGCGATATAATACTTACTAAGGTTGTTGATATAATACTTACTAAAGTTGGTGATATAATACTTACTAAGGTTGTTGATGGAATACTTACTAAGATTGTTGATGGAATAATTACTAAAGTTGGTGATATAATACTTACTAAGGTTGTTGATGTAATACTTACTAAAGTTGGTGATATAATACTTAATAAGGCTGTTGATGGAATAATTACTAAAGTTGGTGATATAATATTTACTAAGGTTGTTGATATAATACTTATTAAGGTTGGCAATATAATACTTACTCAAGTTGTTGATATAATACTTACTAAGGTTGGTGATGGTATACTTACTAATGTTGGTGACGGCTTCTCTCCGCTGGTTCCACAGAGAACGCAGTCCAAACTCAGTCAACTTCACAACAAATCTAGCGTCAATTAAGCAGTTCCTTGAACGCAGCCTACCGTGATAGAGAATCCCGCTCTGATGTAAGAATAGTAAACCCTGAAAAAATAGTTCGTCTGCTGATGAGAATTCATTTTTATAATGGTTATTTTCTAAATGTGTTATTATTGGTTGGATAAGAGCGAAACTTTTCCCAATACACGTAACGTGCGCATTGTTTAAATTTATATTGTTTGGATAGCTTTCAAAGGTAACGAAGCCTTCATTACCAAATGTTTCCAACTTAGGTTTATATATATATAGTTATATATACAAGATAGTGGATCCTCTAGACAAATTAATTCCTTTAATTATTTCATTTTCACGTATTCCATAGTGAGGTGTTGTATTAAACAATTAATACATTTTAATTAGGTCTAATAAATGTATTTATAGGCAAGTTTCATTTCAATATTTAACAAATACTTTTTAATTTGTTCCTGATTTTGCTACTGTCTTTAGTTGTCGTTAGGCTACCAACTGTTCATGCAACACTGTACTGTTGATTTTACCACTATATTGGTATCTATCTTGTTAACAAGTGTTCATGCGACACTGTGCTGTTGATTTTACCACTATATTGGTATCTATCTTGTTAACAACCGTTCATGCAACACTATGCTGTTGATTGTACAATTATATTGGTATCTATCTTGTTAACAAGTGTTCATGCAACACTGTGCTGTTGATTTTACCACTATATTGGTATCTATCTTGTTAACAAGTGTTCATGCAACACTGTGCTGTTGATTTTACCACTATATTGGTATCTATCTTGTTAACAAGTGTTCATGCAACACTGTGCTGTTGATTTTACCACTATATTGGTATCTATCTTGTTAACAAGTGTTCATGCAACACTGTGCTGTTGATTTTACCACTATATTGGTATCTATCTTGTTAACAACCGTTCATGGAACACTGTGCTGTTGATTGTACAATTATATTGGTATCTATCTTGTTAACAAGTGTTCATGCAACACTGTGCTGTTGATTTTACCACTATATTGGTATCTATCTTGTTAACAACCGTTCATGCAACACTGTGCTGTTGATTTTATAACTTTACATGTAGTCTTCTTTACGTATTCACAAACAGTTCATGTTCGGTACTGCTGTAAACTATGAACTGGAGTTGCTATCCACTATTCCCCTTGAGGAGCTGATGATTAAATTGGACCACATATTTGGAAATACATGGTTAAAATATGTTCATAAGCTGGTAAACACCCTTGGTCCTACAAAGTTTATAAAACTTACCCTTCACAACGTTAGGACAAACCTGGACCTATACAGTTTATACAACTTACCTTCACAACGTTAGGACAAACCTGGGCCTACACAGTTTATAAAACTTACCCTTCACAACGTTAGGACAAACCTGGACCTACATAGTTTATTAAACTTACCCTTCACAACGTTAGGACAAACCGGGGCCTACACAGTTTATAAAACTTACCCTTCACAACGTTAGGACAAACCTGGGCCTACACAGTTTATAAAACTTACCTTCACAACGTTAGGACAAACCTGGACCTATACAGTTTATAAAACTTACCCTTAAACAACGTTAGGACAAACCTGGACCTACATAGTTTATTAAACTTACCCTTCACAACGTTAGGACAAACC